CGGGGGCTCATGCTCCGGCGCGGGCACCGCCGCCGGGATGCGCGCCCCGCTCGCTGCCTCCCAAAACGACTTCCTTCGCCCCGGCAGGGAGGAACGGGCCGCGAGCCGGCGCCGGGCAGGACGGTCGGCGCTCGGTACGGAGGCGGCACCGGGCAGTAACTCTGGGGAGCCAGAGCGTATTTGCAAACAACGCAGGGCCTGAGGGCCCTTGAAAACACATAATTAGCTCATTAAAGGGACAAATACAAGTCACTAATAAGATATCGAAGGTTAATTAAATGTTTTCTCCATCTTTAATTAAGGGAAAAGTAGTTAATTCAGTTTAAACTAATTTCTGCAGCCTCCCATGCTGGCCCTTTATGGCTGCAGGTTTGAAAATCTACTGAGATTATTGAACTAAAAGTCGGAGTTTGGGGGTTGTTTGCTGTGCCTTCCCGGGTAAATTCGGGGGAAGCGGGGATTTTCATCCTCAGGGCTAGAAACGCCCTGCTGTAGCCGCCGGGTTACTGCACGAGCGTAGGCAGGCGTGCGAGGTGCAGCTCCCTCCGCCTAACCCCAGCCCTGGCATTTATTCACAACGACTGCTGTTAATTGTTTTTCTTAACGGGGAAATTCTTTCCGATTATTTTCAGTCTGTAAAAACACACCGTGCTTGGGGCGCGCGTCCGGCCGGACTCGCAGCGCGGCGGCAGCCCGTCCATGCCCATGCGCAGGATGGAAAGTCGACTCAATTAAAAAAAGAAAAAATCAGCCGACGAGGCTGAGAACAAGCTGCAAAACGAGCAGAGAGCACGGGAGCGAGACGCCGCTCCGAAAACAAGCCGGGCTCGCGTGCCCACGCGCTCGATGAGCACCGGCGTCTGGCCGGAGCCGGGCTCCAGGTGCTGCAGGGCCAGCGATGCTCAGGCACCCGCTCGGTGCGTGACGTGATGCTGCTGGACACCGGAAAGCCTCGGGGTGGGATCCGGGCTGGACGGGGCTGTGGTCCTGCCGTCGCTGCGACCAGCCCAACGCCCCGGCTTATCTTTTCTTTTTCCCCTTGGCACACGGGTTGCATTAGCGGAGGAGGGCTGCACCCTGGGGTGCTGCAGGCTTGGCAGAACCGATGCAACTGCCTCGCCACGTCCGAGCACACCAAGAAATGGCTTCGGTGCCAAGTTTAGCCTTTTGGCTTTGAAAACACTCTCATAAACCCTCCTAACCACAGTACGAAACCTGGTGAGACGTAGTCCCTGGGCACAGGGAAGACGGAGCTCCCCACAGCCACCTGCGCAGCCCTTTTGGCAAGTTTGCTCTTTACATACGAAAGGCAGAAAAGAAACGGAGAGGGAACGCAGAGACCGGCCCGACACGGCCAACAACAAGGGCAAAAACAAAGAGCAGTCTGCAATGAATGTCACAAATATA